GCGCGCGGAAGCTGGAGGATTGATTTATCGGAGGAGGAGCGCGACATGCACATGCACAAACGATCGGCCCAAGGTCTTTTCTTAGATCGACGCTCATCGCTTTGCGCGCCAACGAGACGAGACGAGACGAGACGCGCGCGGATCCACCAAGGCCGCGGTGCTAATTAATCACCGGCGATAAGTCGGCCGGCGTATCGCGGCCGAAGCGATCGAGGTCCGGAGGTTGAAGGTGGTGCCGCGGAGGTGGGCGCGGAGGGAGGGAGGGAGGAACGGGGAAAATTCTCTCTCGGTAGCCGAGACTTTCGTCGCAGCGCCGACGGGACCTGCTCCCCGTCGCATCGCCGTCGTCGCCGGTGCGCGCGAATAAACAAGCGCCGAATAATCTCAGCCGGGCCGAGGCGAAGCGAGGCGAGCTCGCCGAATCTCCTCTCCGAGCTCGCGCATTCAAAATTCAAAGGCGCCGAGCCCCGAGGGCAAGCTCGAGAACTTGAAAGCCCCGAAGATCCCAAGCGGGAGTCCCAAGATTCCGTCTGGAGGAGCCCGGAGGATCAGAGGAGAGTCGGCCAGCAGAGAGGCGACGCGAGAGCCCCGGCATGCGGGAGGGGGAGGGATTAAAGTTCGGGTCCAAGGGGACACGACGTGGAACGCGGCTGCGGGAGCGCCAGCGGAGATCCAAATCTTCGCCTCGGCTTGCATCGACGCACGAAAGAGCGGGCGCTGCCTCCCTCCCTCCCTCCCTCCCTCCCTCTCTCTCTCTCTCTCTCTTTCTCGTGCAGAATAAGAGGAACCCGGGGAACCGACAACGGGGGCCGGCCGTTTCGCGCGCCGCGTCGCACGCAGCGTGCACGCAGTGCGTGTCCTTACGGTCATTCTCTCCATTAGTCGGCATTGAAACAATCAGCACTCGTCCAATCTTCCTAGACCACAACGGGGCAATATCGGCGGCCGCCTACTCTCCTCCCGTCTCGCGCATGCAACGCGCGCGCGCGCGCGAGAGAGGGAGAGAGAGAGAGAGAGCTCTGAATTCCCTCCCGCTCGGCTCGTGTCCGAGCGCGATCGCGGGGAAAATCGTCCGCGGCCGGCCGGGATTGACGGGAATTGACGAAATTATCGTCGCGTCGGATACGCCGGACGCGGGTGAGACGGACGCGAGCGGACGTTGCCTCGTCGAAGTTGCGCCGTCGATCTTGTTGAAACGTCGCGACGCGGAGGAACGTGCGGACGAGGGAGAAGGTGAGAAAGCGCAGGCGGAGCGCGCGAGCGAGAGAGAGAGAGAGAGAGGGATGGGGAGGGAAGAGGAGAAAAGAGACGAGAGAGAGAGAGAGAGAGAGAGAGAGAGAGCCTAGGAGAGAAAGAGGGACAGAGATATCAGGCAGCAAAGCAGATAATATGTGTCCGTAGAACCGGCGGAGACACGCTCAGAGCCGACATAATCCGAGCGAGGGGACGTTGCCCGATGTCCAGATATACGCTGGTCTCACGAAAGTCCTCGCGCGCGCTCCGCTCGCTCGACTTGCCGCGGGTCTCTCGCCTCTTTTTGCTCGTTTCTCACGCGGACGCTCGCTCTCCCGAAGTCGATTTTCGCGCGCAGACGGCGACGATCTCTCTCTTTCTCTCTTTCTCCCCCCCCTCTTTCTCTCTCTCTCGTTCTCTTTCTCTTGTTCTCACACCCTCGCGCGCTGAAAAAGTGAATTTTTATTTTTCAACGACCTCTTCTCTCTTCGACGCGGCGCGGCTGCGAAACGAGGACGCGCAGATACGTCCGACGTTGAAAATTAAAGAGCTCGAGATAAACACGGCCCGCTTATCTCTCCTATCTTCGGCGCGCCCGTATTGGTAAACAAGATTTATTTGGTCAATTTTTTCATGCCACGAGAGGGAGGGAGAGAGAGAGAGAGAGAGGGGGGGCAGAGGAGTCGAGAGGGAGCGGAGGACGATATAGATAATAAAGAAAAAGCGTCTCACACGGCCGAGAAGCCGGCCGTATTGCTGGCGAAATATCGCGCACGTTAAAAATATAAAACTATTCTGAGCAGAGAGCGCGTAAGAACGTAAGCGTTCAGCGTAATTTATCAATAGAGAAAAATAAGCACGTAGATAAAGCACGACGCGAGCGAGCGAGCGCGCACGGTGTCGGGCTAAAAGGCTGACGGCATGAATTAAAGCGAAACAAACGTCCCAGAAGCGTGATTCACGTCGCCTTTGTTATATCGTCATTTAAGACGCACACGCGCGCCGGAGGAGCGTCGGCGCACACCTTTGCGTTGCGGTGCAACGCGAGGACCTCGAAGTGCCGTCCCGGCGTCGGCGCCGCTCCAATTCCCTGCTCGACGTCAAATTTTCATCCTCCGTCGGCGCGTGCCACGTGCCTGCGCGAGACGAGATGCCAATTCCTGTGGATTCCTCTTTTTCGAAACTCTTTGCCGCACCGCCGAGGGAGGGGAAAGAGAAAGAGGGAGAGAGAGAGAAAAGGAGGGAGGGAGGAAGGCTGAAGAAGCACTGTTGTTCTGCCGGAATCCTCCCCCTCGTGAGGAAGTTCGCAACTCGACAGAACTTGGGACTTCGATTGTTTTAAACTCACCGGAGCGGGAGCGGAGAGGGCGAGAGGGGGGGCGGGGGCGGGAAAGCACTCTGCTGTGATTCCGCCAACTTTTACATACTGTCGCGCGGCGTTACGCCGTCACCCCCGCGGCCGATTTGTCGTCTCGTAAAAAAGGACCGAGTGACTTTCTAAATCGACGCCAGACGACGCAAGACGGAAATATCAAGTTACATAAATAAACCGCCCTTCGACCTTTCCTCCGTCTTCTCTTGCCGGCTGGCCGTCGTCGTCGTCGTCAACAATGGCTCCGCAGGTCGCCGCGTCGTGGACTCGTACAAAAGTAATTTATCATTCGCCGGGAACGCTTCTCGTTACGCGCTCGTTCATCCCCGCAGCATCCGATTTAACATCTCCTCCGCCGTACCGCTTGCTCCGATTACGGATCGCCTCCACATGGCCGAGCGGAGCGATAATTAACGAGACCTCGGGGATCCTACGAGGTGCAAGAAACTAGACGCATCGAGTCTAGAAACGAGCCAGCTAGTAGCCAGCTCTCGCTAGCTTTCGGCCTCTCGGCGCAATTGCGCTCGGCGCAAACGCAGCGTACTTATAAATAGCTCGAAAATGAGGGGTTAAAAGGTTACGGCGTGTCTACCGCCGCCGACGCCGCCGCCGCCGACGCCGCCGTTTGCGGTCCTTAAAAAACCTCCTCCTGTCGCGCTCCGAGCAGACCCACGCGGTGGCAGAAAGTAACGAAGACGAATTAGGCATTTATTATTTCGCTCTCGTCGGCCTGCGCTCTCGTTGTCCGGGAATTGTTCACCGGAATCTTGCCGCCTTCGTGCGCGCACGTACGTGCGTGCGTCGTGCGTGCGGGTGCGTGCGTGCGTGCGTGCGTGCGTGCGTGCGTGCGTGCGTGCGTGCGTGCGTGCGTGCGTGCGTGCGTGCGTGCGTGCGTGCGTGCGTGCGTGCGTGCGTGCGTGCGTGCGTGCGTGCGTGCGTGCGTGCGTGCGTGCGTGCGTGCGTGCGTGCGTGCGTGCGTGCGTGCGTGCGTGCGTGCGTGCGTGCGTGCGTGCGTGCGTGCGTGCGTGCGTGCGTGCGTGCGTGCGTGCGTGCGTGCGTGCGTGCGTGCGTGCGTGCGTGCGTGCGTGCGTGCGTGCGTGCGTGCGTGCGTGCGTGCGTGCGTGAGTGAGTGATACGCGGGAGGTCTTCGTCTTCGTCGAGCCATGTTATTACCTCCGTGAATCTGACATTGAGAAAATCACGGGGGAGGGGGCAGGGGGCAAGGGAAGGAAAAACTAGAAAACGAGTGCAAGCGAGAGCGCAAGATCTCGCGCCGCGGAAAAACTCCTCTCCCGCTGCCACCGTCGAGTGTCGTCCTTGGACGAGCCTCCCCTCGCCTTCAATCGCCTGCGACATGGAGGAGAAGGCTCTGTCGTTCTCGGCGCTCATCGAGATAGCGTCCATCGATATACCGTCGAGTCTCTAAAATACAGCCTCCGTGCTGCAATGGATGTCCCCCTCCCCCCTCTCCTCGTTATCACAACCGCGTCTCTCCCCCCCCCTCCTGCGACGTTCGCTTTCAGCGAGGAACGCTATAAAAGAAGGAAAGCGACCGCGTCTGAAGACCCCACGGGCAACGTACCCCCCGGGGGCCAGCCGTAGTCGAAGGGCCGAATCGGCGAAGATAAAGAGAGCCCGCGACTGAGAGAGAGAGAGAGAGAGAGAGAGAGAGAGAGAGAGAGAGAGAGAGAGAGAGAAAGCGCGAGCGGAACGAAAGGAGCCATCGATCGTCCCCGTCGCCAAGAGACACGCGCGCACGCTGGAAAAGCTGGAGGCGCTTCGGTCCCGGCGCCTCGTCTTCGCGTCCTCCTCCTCGGCCACCCGGACCGACCGACCGACCGACCGATCGCCGGTGGATAGCTGCTGCTGTCGTTGTTGGCAAGCCGTCGGCGGCTCGCGCAAAGGAGCGCAAAAAATCCACGCCGATCTCCGCGTCTTTCGGAGAGAATGACGAGATTCAGGGGCGGGTCTGCCTCCGCTCCGCTCGCGCGCAAGGAAAATCGATCAGCGCCGGGCAGGAGGGCGAGAGGGTGAGCGGGCGGCGGTGGCGACGGCGGCGTTTCTTCTCTCTTTCTCTTGCCCTCTTTCCCTCCCTCCCTCTCTCTCTCTCTCTCTCCCTCTCTCTCTCTCTCCCCCTTTCTCTTTCGCTCGCTCTGTCTCTCTCTCTCTCTCTCTCTCTCTCTCTCTCTTTTTCTCTCTTTATTTTTCTTTTTCTTTTTCTCTCTCTCTCCCTCTCGCGAGACTCACCTGCTGCTATAGGGATGACGATGAAACGCACGCACGATCGGCTTCCAGACGCGCTTCCTGCTCGGGTCCGTATACGGCTACGAAGACGACGCTACGTTGCACACGCTCTCGAGGACGCTCTGCGAACGAAGGGCAATCCGCTTGTTCCCTCTGTACGTGATGCGGCTGCGTGCACCGCGAGCGATGACCAGCGGCGCGACGAAACAGCGGATATATATCTCTCGCTCTCGTGCGATGCCTCGACGTTGCGATGCCGTCGACTACTACTACGTGTTGCTGCTGCCACTGGCACTGCCGCGACCGGAGTCATCCCCCTCCCGCCCTGCTTCCCTCCTTCGGTCGGTCGGTCGGTCGCGCGAGTCCGACATCCCTCAGGCACCACGCATATCCTCCCCGCTCCGTCGTCGATCTTCCCCTTCCGTCGCCGTGGACCGCCACTCTCATCGCCGTCGTCATGGTGATCATCCCTCCTAGAGGAAGAGAAAGGGGCGATTGGTTAAATAGAGATAGAGAATTCGCCGAGAAAGAGAGAGAATCGTACAGGACGTTCCAAAATCGCGTCTGGATCGCTAATCGCCCGAGGCGTTGGATATCGTGGGAAAAGCGATGCCGATAAGCGTCAACTCGGACAACGCTAGCGGGTGATAAGAGAGTCGCGATCAGAGTTCGTGTTCAGAGTACGTGTGTGTGAGATCGTACATGTTGAGCCAATTTTGTTCGAGGAGACATCACGCCCGGAAGAGGATATGGAAAAGCTAGAATCATGTCGTCGGCAGGAAGCAAATAATCACAGCGTTAATTAGGATTGCTTTCAAAAATAAACATTTATTTCAAAATTAATGCTTACCAACTGTATCCTAGAAACTAAGATTTCTATCCTAGACACCGAGCGTGTTTAGGTGTTTTTCTTTCTCTCCTTAAGATTTCTCAAGAAATCATTGCATTAAGTTGTGTACAATTTTGTAGTACCGTAAATTGGGCTTAAAGAGCGAGCCCAATCGCCAGCGAAATCGCCACCAAAACATCACATGATTCCCTTAGCGCGTTTCAAACTCCCAAGAGATCAGAACTCCAAAGATCCGAGGATCGATAGATAGAGGAGTTTGAAGATTCCGAATCGTCAGGGCCGCGAAGATCCGATGATTCGGAAGACTTCAAAGCTCAACGATGCAAGGACTCTAAAATCCGGAGATCAATCGACCCCGTTTCACAGCGCGTACGGTGGTCTCCGAGGTCTAAAGATCCTAAGATCCGAACTGGAAAATCCAATAACCCAAAAAGATTTGAGGATCTATAGATCCCCTAGACTTAAACACCCGAGGGTTCTTAACGCCTTACATTCTAAATGCAACGCATGTGCCATGCGCTTCGCGTACCTAATTGATTCGACGATCAAAATTATGTATACAAAAGAACCAGGTTGCGCGTTATTTCTTACCACCAAACACAATTTGACAATATTCTCTCACTCTCCATTATCTCCGTAAAAATTAAAATGATAGTACCGCTAAGTTGTGATATCACATTTATGGTTCGGAGTACGAGTCGGACCTCGTCCAGAGGAACGTTTCGAAAAGCCCTCTGAACCTTAGACAGCATCCTTTGTTGCTTGTACCAGTTCTGCGAATGACTGATCCAGATTTTGCCGTAGCTCTACGTAACTCACAACTAGAACACACTGTTCATCTCGAGACATGAGACATATCTGAAATCATTTGATACGTTAACACACACATGTGGAAAAATTGTCGAGAGTTCTTTTTTTTTCTCTTTGCTTCATTTACCTTGTCCGACGAGCCCGAGTCGAGTTTGTTCAAACAAGCTACAACATGCGCCATATCCAACCAGGGTCTACCATCAGCTGTTACTTGATGAAACACATAGTCCCTAAACAATTTGAGCATGTAGCGATCGCCTGTCTCAGCCCACGTGGGATCCATGCTGAGCTCCGGCCTTTCGTTAATGGTCGCCAACTTGACCAACAATCTAAATAGTCTCCCGTTCTCCAGTTCCTTGGCAAGTTCGTTCTCCAGAACGTCCGATCGTAACTGGGCAGCGTCCAGCTGCGTGTAAAATCGCGCACCGATCATTGGCATGAGATCCGTGACGGTCCTGCGACGGTCTTGACTCGACAGCAAGTACCTGAAAATTAACATTCTCTCCGTCACATGAATGCGTTGTGGATCCAAATCAACAGATGCAAATCTAGAAGGAGCACTCCTCGAGCTCAATGAGAAAGAATCCTACGTAAATTCCTACGTACAGAATGAGATTTCGAAGGTCGGCTGAGTAGGAACGTGTGATGAGGTCGATGGAGGCTGACATATTGTCGCGATGGACGGCGATAAGACTCCGACATGCTAGCGCTAGAACCAACTTGCCGAGCGCTACCAGATCCTCCTGTTGGTAATGCGGAACGAGCGCGAGCGGGTTCGCAGCGTTTCCATCGAGAGTGACCACGTCCGGAATGGCGACGCAACTCAGGCGAAGTCGCGTCCGCGATGTAAGTAGTACTTTGGTGGGATCTAAGCATCTGTATGCCAAGCCTGTGAAAGCGCATGCCCATGAGACACTGAGCTACAAACGCAGTCGTGAACGGTTTAAATTAAAACGGTTAAAAATTAAAAGTAAATCCAGCGGAACGACGTATTAATGTGCAAAGTTGGTCCACTTGGTGCGGTAAGGGACGCTCGTTGCTCCTGGAGACGCGTAACGAGGAAGCGATACTAACCAGCAGCATGGATAACACGAAATGCGGCAGTGAGTTGAATGATATAGCTCCAAATAACACTCTCCGGTAACATGCTAGTGTGTTGTTGCCTCAGAATAGTGTTCTTCGTGTGACTATAGGGCCGATGGCCGTTGGGATCCGACGAGAATGGATCGGTATAACCGTTCAATTCAGTAGACGCGAAATGCTTGTTTAATAAAGTTTCCGATGTGGGATGATAGTCGTATACGAAAACCATGGCTGAAAAGGAAAACAGAAGTCGGTGAGATTGACGCGAGGCGACGTGTGCGCGAGACAACGTAACTAATGAATACAGACAATGATCACCGAACGCTTTAGTAGTGAAGACCTCCCTCAACTGAACCAGATTCGTATGCGACAGACGCTTCCACATGTCAACCACTACCGTGCACTTCGTATTGGCAAGTCGAAAATCTGAAAGCAGAGAGCCCGACGAATATTCAAGTTAGCGACATAACGTATGATGTACAATCAGATTCTGCAAGAGCAAGATTGGGACTCACCGTGTATACGACGCAGACAGTATCGGGTGCCGTTCTTGATATTTGTGGCCTTATAGGTGGAAGTTTGATACCCGAGCACTGTTGAGGCAGGCTTATGAATCGGCTCCAGCGGGCATAACTCGTGATAATTGTCAACCTCGTTAGGTAAGTCGGGAAATCGTACTATGTCAGGCTGTGCTAGTGTCAACGCATTCTTTTGCAAGATGTCCAATCGTAGACTTTCGCTCACAAAGAAGCTAGGGGCAGCTTGAGGGGGTGGTGTAGAGGGAGCGGAGGAATTGTTAGACGAAGGTGGTTTTGGGGCTTTCACCGGTTGCAGATGCGAGGGTGTACCCGGATAGACATAACCGATCTGTCCTGCTCCTACCTGTCCAATCTAATGGAGTGAAATAAAAACAAAGAGCACATGTTACTAAATTTGTCTCTAGATTCAAAACGAATGTTAAACTCATTTGTCATTGGTCGTATCGATATAGAGATATGAAAAAAAGATATAAAAAAAATTTGCACCTTGGTCGCATAGTATGAATATAAATTGTATGCATACAGAGCTTGCGCATAATTGTGTCTATATATAGATTGTGCATAAGCTTCTGTATACATAACAGAGGTATAAGCTGGCTGAATGAGGTTTACCGCCTCGCTCCCATCCTCGCCTGTGACGGTGCTAGTGGTAGCATTTCCCACATAAAAGTACATAGTGCCACCTACATTCTCCTGAGAGTGCGTGTAGGAATTGTTAAAGAGATTCGGCGAGCTGCTATTGCTACCTGTAAGGCCTCTTCCTGGCACAAATTCGGGGCTGGCAGTTACCTTCTTTTGTGAGTCCAATGAAAGATCGCACAAATGCTTGGTTACCGAATTTGTGCTCAATCCTGTGCTAGGACTCTGACGATTCTGCAACAAAGGGGAAAAGAGTAGTTTATTTGAGATTATCGGAAAGTAGCTCTTGCTCGCTAATGTAAGAGTGATGAGCAACCATGTAGGTAGCAAGCTTGGACTCCGATGGAACTCCGTTTGTTTGAGGAGTGTAAGCAACAAACAACGATGGGTCCATCGCTTCCTCAACCACTGCATTGACTCCCTTCCTTCTTATCTTTGACCCTTGCTTTCTGTATTGTCTTTAGATAAATACACGCACCTTCCTCGTCAAGGTGTACACTACTTTGGTACTTTCCTTTCTCTATTTCATAGATATAAATTGGAATCTGTGCTATCTCACTCTGCAACATATCTTATAACACCGTGAATTAAGATATTCTCAAAATTGTACAATTATACATTAATTCAACTGCACGCGGTTTCAACTACGTATTAACGTCCATTTGATCAACGCTTTGTTTCTCTCGATGACTTTCCTTGTTAGACTCTCTACTACAACAACCGAGATACAACGGTGCAAAAATATATAATACTCGCGACTTTACTTAATGAGATCTATTTTTCCTTTTCTCAAAGAAACCACCGGAAATATACATGTCATGTCGCAAATCCGACGGAGCACCGTTGCACCGTGAACAATCGCAGCCTGGCAATAAGCCGCGCTCGTGCAACAATCCGCGATTGCCGATTCTTGACAGAATCACCCGTGATCTTTCAATCGGAACACAAGCGTACGCGTACGTAGCGACAATCAAGAACCGAGATTCGTGACGCGACGGAACATCTCACCGAGAGAACCGCGAGCGAGCACGACGCGACGAGGGCTCGGAACGCGAGGGCCAGAATGGCCGAACGAAAATAAAGGGAAGGGAAAAGCGCCAAAGCAGCAATGGCAGCTGATTTTGACAACAGACTGACGGGAAAGCGCGCGGCGGGCGGCGAGAGCACGTAGGTCAGCGCGAGGTAGAGACGCGCGAACGCGCTCGGAACGCGCGCAAGCGAGCGAGCGAGAGCCACGAGCTGGTACACGAGCGGGTACGTCGACATAACCAATTCGCGCTGTCACCGTCCGCCGCCGTCGCGTCGCATAGCGTCACGATGCTTTGCTCTGGGTCGCGTCGCGTCGCGTCGTGTCGTGTTGCATTGGCCGGCGACGCAACGGCGCGGAAACACCGCGACTAGCCGTCTCGCTGCCGCCGTCGCCGTCGCCGTCGCCGTCGAATAAACGGACGGACGGACAAACAGACAAACGGATGGACGGACAACCAAATGGACAAACCAACAGACGGAGCAGTCGCCACCGCCGTGTCGTTCTTTTACCCCCCTCCCCCCCTCCCTCGATCCGCAGTATCTATGAAAATTCTTACACTTGGTATCGGAGAAAGGTTGCTGTCCGCTCGCTCAATAATACATTCTTCCATTCGGCAGACCAAAGTGGAATCGCAGTCCGCTTCGTTTACTCCGCCTCGGTCGCTTGTGCTTTCGTGCGTGTTTACGGTGCTGCTTCTCTCTCCCCCTCCACTGGCCTCCTCTTGGCTCGTCTGTTGTATGCTCTGTGCCGTATCGTGCGTCGCCGTTGCCGTCTCCTCTTCACCCCTGCTGCCGCCTAGCTTTCCATCTTCGTCGCGCTTCTCGCAAAAGCGCGCGCTCCCGCCAGCCGCGTCGGTCCTTCGATCGCAGCTGTCCTGCGACGGCTGTTTCTGGATGCGTAGGAGAATGGCGGACGTTAGCTCCAAGCGCGACGGTTTGAAACGGTCGGATCGCCGACGGCGAGGGGAAAAGAGAGAGGAACCCACGCCATTTTACTACGGGTCTCGCCATATTTTTTTCGAAATGTAACCTGAGTGAGAGAGAGAGTGAGGGAGGGAGGGAGAGAGAGAAAGAGAGAAGTTGCGTCTTTTTCATTCCGATCGACGAGAGGCACAAGAGGCCCTTCGCACCCTCGAGCGTGGTAAATATAATTTCCCTCGCTTATGGCGATCTTGGAGGAGAAAATATTCCATACACGTGAGTCCTGCGTATTTACATGCGCAGCAGGAAACTCGATGTTACATTATATCATAAGTAGCTTGGATCGCCCATGGATTAAGGAATAGAGAGACAGAGTCTAAAAGCATTATATGGGCAAGAGAGGTGTAAACTCAGACAGAGCGGTGGGAATAGCTTCCCGCCGTATCGGTGTCTACCAGTCACACATAGATACGTGTCTGTGAAATGTAGTGTGACTAAGAAAAGTTAGGTATATATAAGTTAGGTTAGGTGTACATAAATCATGAAAATTAATATTTTATAGCAAAATGGTCAAGTGTATAGTGTGTGCCAGCGTGTCCAATGACGAAGTATATGAGATAAAATATCTAAATATTTAAATAATTACAAATTAGAAATTTTAAAATATTTAGAAATGTTTAGATTCATTATATTGTCATTTACTTTACTTTTATTTATTAAAACGTACTAAATAAAAATGTTGAATGTAAAATAATATATAATATGATTTTTTATAATTTTATGAGCGATATTTTTATGTAAGTTTCATAATTAAGATGGTCTTAAATTTATTCTCAGATACTTCCTGGCCAATAAAGCTATCCGTACGTCTAAAAGTGAACTTAAGGTAATTATATTAAAATATAAGATCTGAGGTAAACATCGGTTTAAATCTTATTTTGAGGCTGCGGTCTATTTGACGCTACAAATACATTGAAGCGTTAAGTGGATCGCAATAGGAGAAACGTATATGCTTCCCCTCCCTCCCCCGCGGATGTGTTACCTCGTTACAGCTTGTGCTCCGTTCCCCCCTATTCCTTAGCCCACGGGATCGCCAAGTTCGAAGTTCGATGCGTTGCATCGAACACATGTGTCGCGCACATGCCACCCTCTCCCTTCCCCTCACCGTGGAAACACTCGGGGCTGTTTATCAGTCATCGTGATTTTTTGTTATGCCTGGGAAGGTGGTATGCTGTATTTCGTCGACAAGCTTGGCGACGTAAGATTCGCGTCAAACATATTCCGTGTAAACCACGTGTTACAAATTATCACATCTTTTTGTCTCAATCTAGGTGAAAGTCGCTAATAAAAATCTATCGATCTTCACCTAGACTTCAGACTAGTTACCAACACAGTTCCACGCGCAAACATTCGAATTTTATACTGCATGCTGTCTCCTGATGACGCAACATTTCTCCGAAATTACGAAATTAAATTACGAAGATTAACCATCATTACCTCTAACGTGTTTGTATTTTTCTTATATCCATTTGCATTTTTCACTTTCTTTCTCTGCTGCGCTTTGAACTGCTTATTTTTTTTCGAAGTCATTTTCCTATTTCATGTGCTATTCAATGTATGTTGTAATCTGGAATGTTACGTCCTCCGATGATCCTTATATGATACTTATAAACAGATGAATACAATTTATTTTATGAGTTGATATTATTTATTTAAATATAAAATCAAGCAATGAGAAATAATGGCTGTATACTGTAATAAATTACTAAAGAGAAATTTACCTTGATCCTTTCAACGGCTCTTACGCTTCCATAGTCTCCCTGCGACGTATAATGTTCTTCTGAGAAAACGGAAAGAAAAAGCTTTTGTATTCTTCTTCGCATTGGTCTCTTGGACAAATTGAAAAGATAGACGCCCCCTACTTATCCTAATTCGAACCCTATACCGGAAGTATTATATGATTGGGTTTCAAAATGGTTTGGATATGCTTATTTTTCTTGAAGCAATCGAAAATCAACCTTGGATAGAATCCGAAAATATTCACCAATCACATTCAAGAGCTCATGAAATGTGAGTAGTTGTAGCACCGAGTGTAGCACAATAAGAGAACTTCATTTTTAAGAATAAGAAACGTAAGCAGTACGACGTAAGCAGATTTAGGCCCAGTTCTACAACTTACTTTAAACGGAGTTTAAAGCAAGTTGTGGAACTGGGCCTACGAGTACGGACATATGCAGTTCAAAATAGCGGAATGGGACCCTTTCCAAACATTTGTGAAAAATATCGTATACGATATTTCATCAATGGAGCAATTTAATTGGCTGTGAATTGTGACATCAATCTAGTGACATTCATGAAAAATCGTATGTAACATTTTTCAACAATTCGGACCCGGAAAAGAAAGGGAAAAGGAAATGGTGAAGGTTAACCAATCGGAGCAATTCTATTCCGTTGTTCCATTGGGAAGCAAGAACAACGGAACAGAATTGCTCCGATTGGTTAACCCTCACCATTTGCTTTTTCCGTTTCTCTACCATTTTGTTACTAGGGCGTGTTTGCAATAGGGAGTTTTTGCAATACCGTCTTTCAGATACGGTAAACGTTGATCGTGAATGCTATTGGTCACGTACATTGCGACATTATTTCTGAACAAATAACGTTCACGATTTACGTTTATCGCATCTAAAGCCAGCGGCACACGGTGCTTGTTTTCGTGCTGGATTGCTTGTTGGATGAAAATACTGTATTCTGATTGGCACATTTCTGAAGATGGATGGAAATGCACTAATCAGAACGCAGTATTTTCATCCAGCAAGCAATCCAGCACGAAAACAAGCACCGTGTGCCGCTTTAGAAACGGTATTGCAAAAACTCACTATTTCGAACTTCATATTTTAACCAATATAACAGTACTCAGTAAGCAAATTAACCAATCACAGTGTTGGATATTTTTGGGCTATGAGAAAAATAATTGATTTTACTTAGTCAATCTCTTTACTGCTAATGTCTTAATACTTAAGTTTCCAGACCTTTAAGTCTCGCCTAATAGATGATTTAAGTTTTAGGAAACTGATCAATTGTAGTCGAATATTCTTCTTAACATTGTCTGTGATTGGCTGCGTTCAGTAGAACAAAATGATCAGTGAGCGCTTAGTGATTATTGTCTGTGATTGGAGCATTCTTTCAGATTCTTCATAGACCCAGAAAAATTTATCAATCAGGAGCGAGATTCAGTGGAAAATCTAATAATGTTGTCCAACTGTTGAGTCTGCTGAATGCAGCCAATGGCCGCGTTCAGTAGAACAAAGTGATCAGAGAGCGCTTAGTGATTATTGTCTATGATTGGAGCATTCTTTTGGATTCTTCATAGATCCAGAAGTATTTACCAATCAGGAGCGAGATTCAATGGAAAATCTAGTAATATTATCCAACTGTTGAGTCTGCTGAATGCAGCCAATGGCCGCGTTCAGTAGAACAAAGTGATCAGTGAGCGCTTAGTGATTATTGTCTGTGATTGGAGCATTCTTTTAGATTCTTCATAGACCTAGAAGTATTTACCAATCAGGAGCGAGATTCGGTGGAAAATCTAGTAATGTTGTCCAACTGTTGAATCTACTGAACGCGGCCAATGATCAGTTTCTTAAAACTGAATCTATAATAGGTGTAGTAAACTTTAAGGCTCGTCTACATCAGCTGTAAGAGTAAGGCTGTAAGGTTGCAAGACACGAAATGAAATATTTTCATTCGCTGACAGCTTACGTTACAGCCTTACAGCCTTAAGCCCTAAACACAATGCCAGGCAACAGGCAATAAGAATAAAAATAGACCAATCACAATCGGCTATTACAAGAATAATCTATTGTGATTGGTCTATTTTTATTCTTATTGCCTGTTGCCTGACATTGTGTTTAGGGCTTTACTCTTACAGCTATTGTAGACGAGCCTTCAAAGCCTTAAAAAATTGACCATCTACGGACATCTTAAGCCAGCGGCACACAGTGCTTGTTTTCGTGCTGGTTTGCTTGCTGAATGAAAATACTGCGTTCTGATTGGTGCATTTCCATTCATCTTCGGAAATGTACTAATCAGAACGCAGTATTTTCATCCAGCAGCAATCCAGCACGAAACAAGACCGTGTGCCGCTGGCTTTATTCTCTAGCCAACTTTCAGAGCGAGAAAAAATATAATTGTCTCACTCTAACTTATTGCACCAGTTCAGCAGTGTAGCTAAAAAAATAGACCAATTGAATCAAAGGATGAACTGCGCATGCGCAATTATTACTCTATTTTGAGCATAGTTTGCTTCGGCTTTACTGCAGATGGCGCTAAAAACACACTATTTTTTACAAGAGTGAGTTTGCACACCTGACTAGTAGTCTTTTGTTGGCTACCATGGCTGTTGGATGTGGTTCCATAGCAACAGAATACGCATTACTTTTAGTACATGAAACATAAACAGCGTGTTTGTTGTTTTTGTCTTTATTCTGGTATTTTTACGTTCTACATTCCTATTATAAATATATTTTAAGATCTCCTAACGGTCAATTATATATAAAGGTTATACTAGATTGGCATATGGACTAGGCCGTAGCCTTCCAAAATCCATTTATAACAAATACTCTGACTGACAGTCTTTAGTATCATCTGGTATCATCTCCCTCGTTGGTTGCGATTAGTCTTGAGAGAGATATAAATTTGCAAATATCACAATGATCATCCCCGTGCGTTGTTTCACTTGTGGGAAAGTGATCGGTAACAAATGGGAGGCGTATTTGGGACTTCTTCAAGCCGAATACACGGAAGGGTAATATTTTTACAATTAATTCCGATTCTTAACCTCAAATTCAGCCCACTAACGTTATTATTGACTTTTTTTTTTATCATATCGCCTTATTTCTCTACGATCATTTCTTTCTTTATTTTGGAATTAGTATAAACGTGACAAGATTGCAAGAAATAAAAATCAAATGTGATATATAATCGAAAATTTTTGTGCATTGCAGAGATGCTCTGGATGCACTGGGCCTGAAAAGGTATTGCTGTCGCAGGATGTTGCTTGGACATGTGGATTTGATTGAAAAACTGCTCAATTACGCCCCTTTAGAGAAATAATACTTATTAATTATTTATAAATAAAACATTAATAATAGAAGATATGCCTAGCTTAAATTTATGCATCGATACTTGTTTTGACTAATTGCCAGATATTTAATATACAGTACAATATTGCAAATTAAAATCTTGTGATGGAATGTCTCTGTTGAACTTGTTTTATTCTAGTAATAATTCCAATCTTATGTATTCTTTTATATATTATCATGCTAGTTTGTAATAAAACAACAAGAAAGGCACTTGTATATATAACTTTTTGCAATTATCCTTTCAGAAATTCCTTGTAGTTTGTAGCACTTATATGTTACTGTAATGTAGAAACAAGCTTTCAGCGTACCGTCTAAAGTGAAAAATGAAGAATGAGTTAGGGAGTAAAGTTCTTCCATAAAATGTAAAATTGCTCATATTTCATAATTGCAGCCAGTGCATTGTGTTACAAATCTTGTATCTTAAATAGTAAAAACTCCATTTTGTGTCGGTACAAACGCTTGTCTGTTCGTAAAAAAAGACGAGAAAGACACGTGGTACACGCGGCTTCCGTGCACATCAGTACACAAAGGCATATCGTAATGACAATTTTAAATGCAATGCAGGAAGACCCATCTTGCTTGAGCAATATTTCCTTTCACCTAGATTGTGTACATTCACATTCTCGCATACAGATCTGTCGTTTTTGTTCGGACGTTATCATTACTCAGCCTCCACAGTACAGTTTTTAAATCTTGCCTACAATTACGACATCGAACGTTAGAGTATGATCGAGACTGCAAGGACTACGTAACTATATTAACCAATCAAGTTACATCGTGTGTATCGGAGGATTCAGTAAAAATGTGCCCGGCTCGCGTTTTTCAGGATATCTTTCTGCAAAGCGAAATTGCGGAAATCGCAGGCTGATAAGTTAGCTTAGCGCTCCGTAAGATACAATTTTCTATAGTTGCCACGTCTCATGAAATTGTGTGTGGACAGTGGGACGTTTCGACAGTATGGAAATTATTCTGTACGCGAACTCAACGCTTTTTCGGATATAATTGTATATCACGATCGTGATGATCCAGCCGTTGCTTCGCAACGAGTTTTCTCCCCCTTCCCCATTCACTGAATGAATACTGTCATTATTCCTAAATCTACGTTCCCGTTCATCTTCTGACCATTACACACGGTCGGCATAAGATTCCTAGAAGGTGGCTAACTTTCTACACTTTGTTACAATATGCAATGTAGGAACAAAAGAGAGAGATAATTGTTTACCGAGGGAAACAACTCCTAAGTAATAGAATGTTAAATAATCGAGATATCTAAACGACAGAGGATACGAAAATTGAAATTTGACAAGTTTGAGACCTCAAAACTCAAAAAGTGTTATATTGTTAGAAAGCCTGAACTAACGCAGACACAGCCTAAATAGATCGATCGTGTCCGGTAGTCCAATGCTCGCCCGCCCGCGAGCGCGACCTCGGGTTGAATTCGTTCTGAAACACCATTAACTAGCCATATGGAGAGCAGAGTTTAGACGTAATAAAAAAAAAAAAGTTCATTGCATATCCATCGAACCATTTGCACTAAATGGAAAACAAGCGGTACTTTCTTTATCAAGTATACAATGCTACTATATCCATTATGGCACCGCGCGATCCGAATATCAGTGCCATCAAGCCTATCACGGTTATGATGACGTTCTTCAAGGCAACCCAGTTGCCCGGCCCAAAACCAACGTCCCAATAGGTCACGGTCTCGATGAAAACTGGGATCAGCAGGCCCAAGATAGAGAAGCAAAATGCACCGATTAGGCCGATGAACGGTTCTATCGTTGGCACCGCCACAGCGAGGAGAACTGCAAGAAGAAGGGCGCAGATGGACCCGCAGTGAACATCATTTGTGCGACACATTTGCGAGATGTTCCGACAAGTGAAAATATCTACCGAATCGATACGTACCTGCGCCAGTTACCAGCACCGTTCTCATAATGTAATTAGCTAACCGCGGCCTCTTGTGGAAGCGGTCTTTAATTGCGTTCCATCCGATGTCGAGACACACATAAAACTGCAGGCCGAACGTGCAGAACACAGCCAGTGCGATCAGTATCTTCACAACTTGCGCCGGACTGTAAGCATAGACGCAAGCAAAATGTGAGGAGACGAAGAAGAAGAAGAAGAAGAAGAAGAAGAAGAAGAACAAACATTGTAATTCTGTCGGATCAAAGACTCACATTTCCTCCGTCGGCAGATTCAGAGTGATGCTACCCAACGTTGCGTCCTGGTACTTCAGGTAGCCGAGGAATCCGAGGAAAATGTACACTAACGTAACTCCGGACATTCCCTTGTTAAGAACCCCGCAGATCCCCACAAAGTGCTGCGGCGTCTTCATGCTGTTTTCCAACGGCATCACCACGCCGATCGCCTCCATGGCGAAGACGGTGATGCTGAAGAACTGCGGAAAGTTCTCGACCGGCGCCACTAACGGCACCGAGTCCAACGACGGCAAGTCCCAAACTAAATAATAGAACGTTATACCGAGTCCGGTACCCATGAAAATGTTCGCCACCATCGAGACCGGTGCGAGGTACTTCAAGTCCGGTACCCAGCTCAGCAGGATCAACGGTATCAGCCAGTAAGCAGTGATCAGCCGGATGCTGTACTCGCCCATCTCGGGGCCTTGGTAATGCTCGATGATCTGCTTAAAGTTCGCGGCGACGATGACTGCGTAAACGCTGCAAGTGCCGAAATAGGTGGCGAACAAGCTGACCTGAATAAGGTACCTGCGAACGGAAGAGCAATGATTACAATCGCTGGCAGTCGCCTTATGACGTGGCGTTTACGACGAAGAGAAAGAAGCTTGAACCGCCGGTACCTGGAAGGTTTCGCGAACTTCTTCGCCCACGGTGGTCCGGCGCTGAAGGCCGTCTCTGCGACGTCCGCGAAACTCATCTCCGTCGTCCGGGTCTTGTAGTAGAGCATGTGGGCGCATTTCACCTGAGAACGGAACGGAGACGTCGTTCAATGAGCGTTCGTGATTTTCCGCTGGAAAGAAGCCCTCCATCGGAGGAAGTAGGTTATTGCTCTCCCTCCCTCCCTCCCTCTCTCTCTCTCTCTCTCTCTCTCTCTCTCTCTTTCTCTCTCTTTCGGTGACGATGGACGATTGTTTATCTTCCGCAGACTCACCAGTATGTAGGCGCAGTGCGTGCACACGAACGCGACGAGTATCGTGGCGAAGCAGCCCACGAGCAGTCCGGCGTTCTTGAAGGCGATGGGCATGGCCAATATGCCGGTGCCGAGGGAGGCCTTCAGCAAATGCGTCAGCGTGTCGCAATCCCTGGAAGCATCGCGCGATTTCGCGCCGGTCGTTAACACGCTCGGGACGAGGAAAATTACGTCGCGCGAGCATGATCGAATTAGGCCCGAGGCTTCTTATCGTTATTATAATTGCCACCGTCGATAAATGAGACCTTTAATCTACTAATTGTTGTTCTCATTGCATGTACTAAGACGACATTATCATACAAAATGTCTTCGTTATGAATCTTTACATATTGAAGATATGCAGATATGAAGATATGCAGAAGAATTTTAGTTCGCCGCTGAAGCCGCGCGTATTCAGATTCGACGCGAGTGAGCGAGCGAGAGCCGGCACCACGCTGGATTGTTAACTAAGGACTGCAAAATTCCCTTACGTCGTCGGATTGTCCACTTTGCGCTCGGCGAAGGGGTCGAAGCCCTTCCCGTCCCCTTGTCCACCTTCGACATCCAGCGGCGCGACCTGCACCTTATACCTGAGAAATAAGAGAGCGTGTCGTTAGGCTGCGCGTCTACAATCAAGTCGGTGACGCTTGTCGGATGTTGTTAGTCGTGTATCGTAGCTGTTTCTTATTTTAATCTACAATCGAGTAGTGCGTTGTTGATGTTAATGATGGATCCTATTGAAGTGATCGCTATAATATATAATAATTTATTATCTCTTTGGGTGCAAATTCCAAGAATACGAACAATTTTAAAGAAGAAACGTAAAATCTTTCGAAGACGGTGAGTAAAACCTTATCTTTTCGTTGATATGAGACACACACACAATATTGGAGCTTATAAAAAATTACTTAAATAATATATAAATAATATAAAATATTTCAAAATAAATGATCATGAAGAGTTTTTCAAGTTTACAAGGATGTCTATTGAACAACTCGACGTGTTGTATAATTGATTAAAACCGAAGCTCTAAAGGAAGTCATAGAGTTCCTTTGGCGAACAGAACTTTCGTCTTGCTCTTACATTGAGGTTATATTATCAACTATGAATATTATGAACTGGAGATGTGCGAACTATTCGAATTCGAATCCCTATGATTCGAATCCGAATAATTCGAAAATTTCGAATCGCGAAGATTCGAATACGAATCAGATACATATATTAGCGTTTGCGCACATCAGCTACAAAACGGGCCATCTTGTATGTTTGAACCCTTAACTTGTAATTGTAACTTGTAATGAACCCTTAACTTATAATTAATAACTTAATTATAAATTACTTTAAATATTTAAATATATATTTTACTTTAAGATGATATTACAATATCGATATTCCCTTTCATATTAAAATCTTCCATCATTACTTGCATGTTTAATAGTCATGTTAAATTTTTTAATGATTCGATTCGATTTCATTCGATTTGAATTAAAAAAATGAGATTCGATATAAAAATTCGTGATTCGCATATCTCTATGAACTCACATTGTCCCATGGACATCCTACAACAATATCCTGGAGATATACAAATGTCCTCCGTTTTAGATCCTACAGATATCCTACGGATCTCTTTTAATAAAAATTTTTAGAAATCAAAGGTTTCTAAAAAAGAACTGAAAGTTATTAAAAAGGATATCCGTAGGATATCTATAGAATTTAAAACAGCAGACATTTGTACATCTCCAAGATATTGCAGTTTCCCAAAATGATGTCCATTGGATGTCCCTGAGATAAGGTGTGCTGTATGGAAAATTTTGTAAATTATTTTTCCTGAAGATAATAGAAGATAAAAGATAAAAATATCATTTTTTCTATAAGTATTCTTTGTTTTTAATTATCTTATTCAGGGAGATAGTGCTGCAATGTTTTATTCAGGGAGATAGTACTGCAAATTTTTGTATAGGAAAATTGCTGCCTCGTCGCTGGCAACCGCACGCAGAAAAAAGATCAGCCGAAGGAACTAAAATATAGCTTTGGTAGCTAAAATGTGTCTTTGAAATAGGGACAGCTAATGTCGTTGCTATTAAATCTAAATTTATTGGTTCTTCAAACTTATTCGTTGCAGTAAGAAATATTAGGTGCTAGAAATAAATGACATGTAGCTGAATCCACTATGCTATCATATTCTTCGCAACAGAACGTAATAATATTTGCAGTAAGGCTAAGAATCTTAATAAAAATTATATATTCTTCGTTATTCGTGCTAAGTGGTTTTAGCTACTTTAACCATCAATTTTGCCATGGAAACAATGCTACACAGAATGTTTTATAACTTATAGCCTTACAAAATAAGGGTAGATTAAAATAAAGAAAAAAGTAATATATTTTTCAAAACTCGCAATAGTTATTAAGTGATTAGTGATTGATATGGCTTCTAAATAAGGCCATTTTCAATCAGTAATAACTTAATAACTATCGCGACTTCTTAAACATATTATATGGCTTTTTCTTTTATTTTAACCTGTTTTAACTTTTTTTTAATAGGATCATTAGTTATTAAACATCCTGTACATTGGCTGTAACACGCACATATTGAAAGCGACAAAATTACGCTTAATTTTGTAGTGACAAAAACCACATCCATCGGCCTTGCAGGCCAACAAAAGACTAACAATGAAAACTATGCGCGCCGAAACCATACATAATAACAATGGCCGCGTTCAGCAGGAAAAGCTGCTTACGAAGCATTTAGTGATTATTATCTATGATTGAAGTATTCTTTTAGATCTTTATATCGAATCCAGGGGAATCCAGGGGAATGAACCAATCAGAAACGATAATCACACAAGCGCTTAGTAAGCAGCTTTTTCTGCTGAACGCAGCCAATGGCTGCATCCAGCAACATAAAACAAAACCGTTTTTGTAACCGTAATTGCAAAACCGTTTTATGATTTTCTTCTGAACGGTACTAAACGGACTCAACATCTTTACTCAGCGGTCGCCATATTTTTCAGCGAACTAAAAGTAAGCTGAATCTAAGCACAACGTATTGAGCAAGATGGATGCCCCCAATTTATATGAAGCGCAATACACATATAAAGACGTTATATATAATATTGTAGATTCTGTAGAAATGCACGAGCAATTAGAAAAAGGTATAAATAATTTAATAATGAAATATATAATTATACTTACATCAAAGTATATTTAAATATTAATGCATATTATATTAGGTAAATCGGAAAGTTCCGCCCATCAGTGGCAAGTAGCTATAGCTAGAACTGTCGTTAACCTCTAATATCTAAACGAAGCTTAATGGTTTGTTTTGACATCTGTCAATAACATTCAGTACATAAAGATATACGTTTGCATCAATAACATTGTTTTTTACTGCATCGAAAATGTCGAAATTTGAGCCAAATAAGCATCATTTGCGCGAAGTGTTAATCTTTTGCTTCAATTGGAAGAAAACCGCAGCTGAAGCTCATATGAATGCTTGTAGAAGTTTATGGTGATAATGCTCCTTCCGATAAAACATGGTTTCGACGCTTTAAAAGTAGTGATTTTTATGTAGAGGATAAAGAGCGTTCTGGACGGCCAAGAGTATTCGAAGACGAAGAATTGCAGGCATTGGTGGGCGAAGATCCATGTCAAACGCAAAAGCAACTTGCAGAAGCATTAAATTGTGCTCAATCTGTCATTTCCGATCGTTTGAAAGCCTTAGGAAAGGTTTACAAGGGAGGAAAATAGGTCCCATATGAACTGAAGCCAAGAAATATTGAGAGGCGAAAAACCACCTGCGAAATTCTGCTTGCTAGACAACAAAGAAAGGGGTTTTTACATCGTATCACCACTGGGAATGAAAAATGGATTTATTTTGACAATCCCAAACGTCGAAAAACTATTTACGATCCCGGCCGACCCTCAACATCGACGCCAAAGCGGAATATCCACGGAAAGAAAGCAATGCTCTGTATTTGGTGGGATCAGAAGAGTGTGTTGTATCATGAGCTGATGTTGAAAAGTGGTCAAACAGTTACAGGGGATCTCTACAGAGAACAAATCATCAATCCATTTAAGCCGAGCATTGCACGAAAAACGACTAGAATATGAAACAAAACAGCATAAAGTGATTTTGCTTCATGACAACGCTCGGCCTCACGTCACAAAATCTGTCAAGGAAACGTTAGAAGCACTTCGCTGGAAAGTGTTACCCCATGCGGCTTATTCACCAGACTGTGCCTCTTCCGACTACCACTTGTTTCGATCGATGGCACACTAGAGATGTGCGAACTATTCGAATTCGAATCGAATCGAATCTAATGTAATTCGATTCGATTCGAATCTGAATCCCTATGATTCGAATCTGAATAATTCGAAAATTTCGAATCGAAGATTCAATTACGAATCAAATATATTAGCGTGCATTATATTTGCATGCATCAAGTACAAAACGAGACATCTGGATCTGTATGTTTGAACCCTTAACTTGTAATTAACTTAACTTATAATTAATAACTTAATTATAAATTACTTTAAATATTTAAATATATATTTTACTTTAAAATGATATTACAATATCAATATCCCCTTTCATATTAAAACTTTCCATCATTATGTGCATATTTAATAGTCATGTTAAATTTTTTAATGATTCGATTCGATTCGAATTCGAATTAAAAATCATAGATTCGATTCGATTCGAATTCGAATTAAAAAAATGAGATTCGATTCGATTCGACATAAAAATTCTTGATTCGCACATCTCTATGGCACACACACTTGCTGACGAATGCTTCAATTCTTATGAAGACGTCGAAAAATGGGTTTCTCCACTTCTTCTTCACTGGATAGCCTCCAAAGATGAGTCATTATTTCGCCGCGGAATTTGCTTGCTGATCGAGAAATGGAAAAAAGTCATCGCTAACGATGGACAATATTTTGATCGATGTACTTTTTCATTTTTGTTTCTTGAATAAAGCCATACGTTTTGCGAAAAAACGGACGGAACTTTCCGATTGACCTAATAAATATATAAATGCATTGGTTAGAATAAAGCTACACAGTAAAAATAAGAAGAAACGTTTCAAATTTTATATAGATCTTTTTTAATGTAATAAATGTATCGAATATAACAGCTGAATAAGAATACAAAGAGCATTCAGCAGAACATCCAAACTGTTGCAATGTATCACTAAACCGTTTACAAAGCGCTGAGTTCTGCTGAACGCAGCCAATGTCCCAGAAATAATTGCAGTCCGAACCTCGGGATTCACGCGCGCATTATATTTAAGCGACAGCTGCAACTTTCTTAGCTACTCATAAGCTAAGGTGCATCTTTTATTTCAAATAATAAAGTTGTACTTTGTAATGAATACATTTCATCTCTGACAGCTAACTTTTAGCAACGACCGTAAAACAAAAGTTAGTCTTTCAGCTAAGTTCGAACTAGCCACCGACATTTAGCTAATATCACTAAATCATTTTTTTGCGTGCGGTCATACCGAAAGGAGAGGGGAAGAGGTCACACAGGGGAGATCAATCGGAGCTTCACTTACGACAAGACACCGTCCTTCATATGCGACCCATCCTGAGGGAGGAAAGTGTCCAGCTCCGTCGGCGCTCTGTTTCTCTCGTCGGCCTGCGGGAAGGACGACGGGGGAGTCATCAATACAGGCGAATCGCAACACGTGAGTGCCACGCTCTCTATGACTGCGTTCCGAAATTCACTGCCAGTACCGAAAATACATAGTTTGTCACGTATACTATAGATTTTCAGTACTGGCAGTGAATATCGGGACGCAGCCTAAAATTCACGCGGCGATGGCGGCACGGCGCGGCGAACACGCAAACGAGCCGCGTGCGAGATAATAGCGACGCAGATAGATGTGCGGGAATGAGCGCGCGCAAACACGGAATAAATCATGAGCGGCCATGCGTCGACGAGACTCACCATATTGCCTGGTTCGTTGATATCTTATCTGCACGCCGGCTGAAACAAAATATAAGGAGGAATACGCATTAGAATCGAGCTATTGTTCATTCGACGGTACTCGAGTGTACATTGAGTGGATTTAGGACACAAGGGGGGGGGAGGGGAGGAGAGCGCGAGATAGCGAGGGAGTGTTTGCTCTTCCCGATTGTAGTTTATTTTCGGTAGTGTCGCGATTACAAATCGGACCGATCGATCGATCGGCCGACGTCGCACAGACGCGCTCAGTCTCGCCTCGTCTCTTCATCGTGAAATCTCGATCTTCCGCGGAAAGACCTTCGATCTGCGGGACAGCTCGTCGCTCGCGCGACGAAACGAGCGAGAGAAGTGGAGGAGAGAGGAAGAAGGACAGCCAACTCCGCGGGTCGGCGCGGTGTTACCTTTGGTCTGTTCTTTTCAGCTGCACTGTGGAACTAGTGCAATAAGTTAGAATGAGACAACCATATTTTTTCTCTCTTTAACTTATTGCACCAGTTCAGTAGTGCAGCTAAAAAGAACAGACCAATAGTCTGTCGCTTTCAACAAGTGTGATCGATGAATCGACGCGAAAACTTGTTATGCAAAATGCAACGCTTCGCTCGAACCTGCCGGCCGCGGCTCAGAGGCGTTTCTCTCTCTCTCTCTCTCTCTCTCTCTCTCTCTCTTTCTCCCTCTCTCGCCGTCTTTGATACATAGCATTGACTCACCGTATCATTCCCGCGAAATTATCGCGCCGTTGTCATTGTCACTGCCGCGCGCCGCAGTCTCTGATCGTGTTGGAACAGGGGAATTATCTCCAAGTGTAACGTTTCAATTTGCACAGCTCCGCCAATTTTACCGGCGCGCAGCAGCGTGGATAATAATAATTGCAAAGCACGGGAAGGTCCGACGATTGAAATCTAAAAGCGCGAACAGATGCGAACACGCGCGTCGGCGTTCCTTCCCGCCACCGTCCGACCTACTGTTCTCCCCTAAGGTCTCATATTTTCGCGTCGTTAGCACATGCCATGACAATCTCCGCACTTCTGCCGCCTCCCCCCCTCCCACTGTTTTCTTTTCCTCTTCTAACTTTGCTCGAGCGAAAATTTCCTAACGATGTCATCGCCGGCCAGGTTGCACTGTCGACCGAGAATACAAATCATTTACGCGACTCGTCGCGCCCGCGAGCGAGATTACATTATACATACAGCTGAGCTCCGGCTCGAAAGAACGTGAATTCTTCCGCCATTTGCGGGTTCACGAACTCGACCTTCGGCGGAACAAATAATTGCGCCTTTGCGTGAATGCGACGAAGTGCGCGCGATAATCCGGCGGTCTGAGGTTGCATCGCGATATTCGTTGTATTGAAAATCTATAGTTCACCTCGCTTGTACTATAGACTGTCGGTATGGTATGGAAAGCAGCCTAATTAGGCGAGGAGGTGGACAATAGAGATGCAACGAAAGGCGTCGCGCACTGAGAGCTTTTCGTCGAGCATTTCAAGCTGAGCGAACCAATATGCCGCAACCTGTGTCTAAAAAATTCCGGAGCTTCTTATTTTATTTCAGTCCTCAAGTACGAATATTTGAATTTTCGACGTGGAATATAAATATGTATACATTCAGCATATGTAAATATATTCGATATATTAAACGTATGAATATCTCAATGTAAATATCAGAATAATACTCAGATAACAATATGTTATCGAGAAGCTATCTGAAAGATAGCCACTTTTGAAGCTGATAACTCAGAGACGCTTCAATGAGATGACACGAAGACGTCAGAATGTTATTTAACGCGACGTTTTTTCCAGAGCAGAAAGATATCACGAAAATGGCGTCTGAAAAATTTTTCAAGCCGGATTTCTTTGAAGTATACAAAGCGTGCCAACATGTACATACATGTTTTATTCGTGATATCTAAAAGATAATATTGCGAGTGCTCCTTAGGGAAAATAAATTGTCTCATTATCGTACTGGGAACATTTTGCGAAATTTGTTATTAGTATCATTGTTAGTATTAAACAATCATGACCTATTGATCGCATAATCACACGTCGAATTATTATGAATAGAATATCTAGACAGCAGACGTCTTCAGGATGATTCTGAGTATGTCTAAGATGTCCTGGGATATTTTTAGGATATAGAAATATCCCAAAAATAATATAGAAGATTTAATTTATTTAAGTTATTGTAAATATTTTAAATGAGAATTTTACGTGTATGTTTGACTTTATTAATATTATAGCGCAACATTAGAAGTAACTTCAGAATGTTAAATACGGTAATAAAATATAAATCTCCCGTTAATGTCCACTGCATATCCGCTAGTCCCAGATCTAACACAACACACGTTATCCTAAGGTCCTACAACAATATCCTAAGAATATGTAAATGCCCGTTGTTTTAGATCCTACAGATATCCTATCTCTTTTTTAGTAACAATTTTTAAAAACTTCTAAAAGCTTCTAGAAAGGGAAAAGTTATTAAGAGGGATATCCGTAGGATATTAATAGGATGCAAAACAGCAGACATTCATATATCTCCAAGATATTGCAATACCCCAGAATGATGTTCGTTGGACGTCCCTGAGATAAAGTGTGCTGTGTGTAGAATAACATAAGAATTTAGACAGCACAATCTTGAAAGATGTTTCGAGAATAAACAATAGAGATATCGCCTATTGAATTTACTGATTCCGTGTTGTGTCAAGATATGTGTGCTGTCTGTATTTCACGTTTAAATTATAAACACGAGGAAAAGAAAGCATAAAGGACTCGATCTCAATCTCAAAACTTAGCAAATTGAATACATTAATAGCTCGGTTTCTTTCAGAGTCAAAAAATTTTAGAATTCTAAAAGATTAAAATTTAAAAAGATTCGGAAATTTTTTTGATTCTGAGTATGAAATTTCCTTATATTTTAATTCAAATAGAAAAGACGCAACCCGATACAATGCAGAGTCAGCAGGATATCATCGTGCTGTATCTCTCTGGGTAGTATTACAATATATAAAACAATATTATTATTATTATTATATGTTTAACTATAAGTGCATTGTCATTCATAATAATCCAACGGGTTAATCCGATGCATGTAATAAACATCAAATATCAGTGACATAACATCAACATTCCATCAATTTCCCATTCAATAATGTAATTGTTACATAATACGTTTTACATTGCATACGCATCGTCGAGTGGAAAATTATAACATTAATTTTATATTACTGACAGTTTTTACCAGTTTTAATGGTTTTTACTAGTTTTACTGGTTTTTACTAGGTAATATACCAATTACGTATAATGTTTTACTTTTTTGTTGTGCGAGATGTATATACAGGATGTATATACAGGGTATATCAGGATCTTTTGGAAACGAAAAATTGTGAAGATTAATCAGATCAGACTGAAAAGAAAAGTCAAGTACTATTTTGCAAAAATCGCAATAGTTATTATTATTATTATATAAGTTATTAATGATTGACAATGACCACATCCAGAGACTTTTTTTAATTAATAACTTGAAAATTTGCGTAATCTACAATTATATGACGACCATTGTGCCTAGCGATAGATTCAAGATTCAGGGTTCAAAGTTCAATATATTCATATCTGTCACTAGACACGATAGCCGTCATATAATTGTGGATTAGGTCATTCTGAACATTGAAAAATGTTCTTCATCATTTTGCAATAAATTTTCAAGTTATCAATTAAAAGAGCCTCTAGATGTGGTCATTTTCAATCATTAATAATTACTGCGATTTTTGCAAAATCGTACTTGAATTTTCTTCTCAGTTTGATCTTCACAATTTTTCGTTTCCAAAAGATCCCGGATACTCTGTATAACTCTTAATTTGTTTCTCCTAAACTTTATTATTCTATATTATTATTGCAACACCGCACCAGCGCTAGTGTAAAGTCTGAGCAAAAGACGTCTCTGAAGCTGGACCGATTTAATTCTTTTGCGCGTACAACGTGCAACAATTCTGATTACTGATGCTTTAATAAAGTACTACAAACGAATTCAATATTAATTAACAAATATGCCGATTAAGCAATCACGCATATCACAAAAAGCCCCGATCATCGGGCGACTTTTACAATCATCTTTTGTAGTTTTGACGTTTTGAATATCTTGGACGATTTATTCATGTGTAAATATGTGAATTAGCGTGGCGAATTAGAATATTCGGCTAAATCAACGGTTTTCGAAAATGTTTACTTTATGTCTTATAGCCCTAGCATCATAGTAAAAATTAATAATAAAATTAATAAAATTTTATAGATTGGATCCATTTCTTAGATACATTACTTTTAGGAGATCATTTTAAATGATATCATAAAGATAACATTTTCAAGAAATCCCTCTCAAATGAGATATCTCAAAGAGTTCTTCTAGTAGATACTTTTGATAAATTATAATTAGATGTTCATATCGACTTCACTTTCAAGATATCTAAATGTTTTCTACAAAAAGTTCCCTTAAAGTTCTCACTCTGACCTCATGTATGCTATCCGGTTCATTATTCTAGTTTAGGTCTTACATTAATATTGGGTGTTACAATAATAATACAGAATGACAAAGATAAAGAAAAATAAATTGAGAATTATATACATTTCGCAGTAAGAAAACATTTACTGGAATATCATACTATAAACAGCAACTATTAGTAATATAACATCAATGTTACAATTTCCCACTCAATGGTATAAATGTAATACGTGTGTTATTATGTAACAATTACATTATTCAATGGAAAATTACAATGTTTATGTTACTGATATTTGATATTTACGGAATATGTAGTTAATCTGCTAGATTATAAAAAATGACAATGCACATCCACAATTAAAACATATAATAATATCATTATTTTATATATACTATTCGATTCATATATACTATTTATACTATTCTATTCATAATAATTAAATTGTATGATTATTAGATCAAGTTTATGTAATAATAGTAATAAGTTTCAGAATGTTCACATTATAATAATAAGGTAATTTATTCTCCCCGAGAAGC